GCGAACAATTACAGTTCTCACGGTGAGATTTCCGAATTTATGTTTATTTATGCAAAATTCACTGAAGATGCGAATGAAAAAGAAACACCTGCAAGAGGATCTAAAAAAGGATTTGCAAATAAAACAGTCATATCCATTTTCCACCATAGTGATTTTAAGAAATTCATGCTTGTTTATATAGGATTTGCTGAAGACATATTCAGATTGAATCAGTGGAATTAATTCACATCACTCATTTCCCCATGCAAATGATTTGTAGAGAAGAGTAATGTTCACATGCAAGATTCAGCAAGGATATCATTGTATTTGGACGATAGATTTATTTTAAATTGAATAATTACAGAATTAATTTATGCATATGTATGTAAGATTCGATGGCGATATGGGTGAAGAAGACTATAAAAAGAGGAGCCAAAAAAACAAATCAACCATTGGTTAAGCACTGTAATGGCAGCCCCAATGACGGACAAAATCCAGGAATTAAACAGCTTTATTATGGCATGGTTGGAAGGTATCCAGGCAAACGACGAAGAAAATATCTCGGATATGGAATCGTCCATATCCGAGTACAGTATCCGTGCAAACGACGAAGAAAATATCTCGGATATGGAATCGTCTATATCCGAGTATAGTATATGGGAAGACGATTCAGCATCAACAATCGCTATAGAAGATGATCTGTCATCGATTTCTTCTTCTTCAACCGACTCCGACCACATCGAATCTTGGAGCCGTTCGGGAGGTACAATACAGATCGATTGATAACGTAAGTTCCAACTATTTTCTCCATAATTAATTAATTTTACTCTAATTTAAAATTTGCTTATTGATTTGATCATTTTCCTCACATTGGAACTGGACGTTCACAAAAAAAATTTTTACTCAGTATTTTCAGAACACTATGCGATATTTGGACGATAAAAAGAAGAGGAAAAGAAAGATAAAAATGTACTCACTTGTTTTATATGCAAAACTAACGCTTCGCTAATAAACATTAATTTTAACATATGTTGTACACATTGAAGTAAACCTCTTTGATTAAGCTATACAGTACAAAATATGGCG